GATCTCTGTCGTGTGGGCCACAGGGGACAAAGATGTTACAGTGTCATCTCAGGCCCCAGGACAGGAAAGCTCCAAGACCTCATTACTAAATATTTTCTTGGACAATACGAATGGTTTTGGAATAAGTCATTTTGGCTTTTTCCACTCTGGAGGAGTCTGTGTTCTGTCTTGAACGCGTATTTCTCTCTCTTTCTCTTCTTTTCCCTCACATTTATCTAGGTGAATTTCTTTAAATAAAACTATTTTTCGTTTCACTGAAAAATTAAGCAGATCAGTCATTTTGTGGCTGGCGAGACAGCACAAGGGTTGGGTACTTACTTGCCTTGCATCTGGCCAACTTGGGTTTGATCCATGGTACCACATATGTCCCCTGTACATCAGGACTGAAACCTGAGCACAGAGCATGGGGTAAATTCAGCACAGCATATGTGTCCCTCCCATAAAAAACAAAAATTATTATTTTTATTTATTTATTTGCTTTTTGGGTCACACCCGGAGAAGCACAGGGGTTATTCCTGGTTCTGCACTCAGGAATTACCCCCTGGCGGTGTTCAGGGGACTATATGGGATGCTGGGAATCGAACCCGGGTCTACCTGCTGTGCTATTGCTCCAGCCCCTAAGAAAATTTTTTAATAAGTCATTTTTATTCCTTTTAAATTGTACAAAGTAATATACTAAGAGTGCTCCTTCAGGTAAATCCACATTCTCCTGCCTGCCGATATTTTTTTTATAACCAGGATAATGGTTTTTCTCATTATGTTTATTAGCATTTTACAAGTTGCTTATTCATTTAGGAATGATTTACTGAAGGGTAGCTTCTGAACACAGAGGCAGGTCAACGCAATCCTACACTGATTGCAAATGCTTTATTTTTATTTCATACTTTTTTTTCCAGGAGGAGAAAAATGCATAGTTATAGTATATCTGTAACAGAATTTCATACCCAAGACAGAAGGGAACAGGTCTTGGGGGGAGAAAAAAAAAGAAAGAAAGAAATCACAGCCAACTGTCCCCCAGAAACCAGGTCACAACTGCCATGTGGGGCTTCTGCCTGTCGCGGGGTGTGATGAGTGTTAGCTTCCTGGCAGACGGCGCAGCTGAGCTCAGCCACGTGGTGGTCCCTGAACAGAAGGTCACACCACCCCCCCATGCCTTTCTGACCCCCCAGGACTTAGCCAAAGGCTGGACGGGGATCCACCCAGCACCCCTCCCAGCAGACCGAGCAAATAAGCCGCGTCTGCTGGTCATCCCTGCTCCCACCCATTAGAGAGACCCTCACTCCACAGAATAAAGAAAGAACCAACGCAGACGGTGTGACGGTCACTGCTCCAGTGAAGACATCTGGGAGGGCTTTCCTTCAGAGGGGATGAGAGTGTGGAAGGCAGATGGTGGCTGAGAGTCTTCTGTCCCCGACCTGGAGCTGGTGCAGAGTGCAGTGTCCACAGGACGGAGAAGGCTGCCGTGCAGGGGGGCTCAGAGCCAGCACGTGTCCCCGCCCCCATAGGGGGCCCCCTGAAAACCTTTCCTTGGCTGCCGGGGGCTTTGCTCTTCCTGCTGGGAGGCAGCAAGCCGCTGTCCGCGGGCTATTTTGGGCTGTCTGCTGTGGTCGCTGCGGCCCCGGCTGTGCGCCCCTGGCTTTGCCTCCGGCTGTACGTGCTCACTCAGGGGGAGTTTGCTCAGAGCCTCCAGAAAAGGAAACCAGCCTCGCAAGGACGGTGGTTTCGGTGCTCGGCCTTGCCCAAAGTGTGCACTGAAATAAAATCTCTAGAACTTTCCAAAAAGGTACTTAAATTTAACTTTGAGACCCTCCAAACTGCTTCCTTATTTTCTTTTATCCTCTTTACACTATTTATTATTGACATTTTTAAAAACCACTTAGTTCGTTGTCATTTGGGTAAGAGCTCAAGCCCACTTAACTCCCAGGACAAAGACCAGGCTTTCTAATGAGCAATGGTTCTCCCCTATGAAATAAGGGCTTTAAAAAAAGGTGGGTTTTGTTTGTTTGTTTGGGGTTTTTTGCTGTATAAACCTTTAAAATATAAAATCAGAATATTAAAAAAATTGCTTTTGCATCCAGCATTTATAAAACAGATTTTGCTTTCAAACTACAGATAGAAGAACTAAAAGAAATTAAAAGTGCCTATTATCCATTTGGAAGACAAGAGCTTCTTTCTATTGTGACTTTTCTCAAAGGTAGGGCTAGGACCACCTCTACTACTCAGACTGGAACCCCCGAAGCCCCTCACTCCTTTACTGCCTTTAACAACTTTGGGGGGAAGAGCTGTGAGACCTGGGAAGGGACCCCTTTCACACCTTGGAGAAACTTTCCACTGGAACATCAAGTATAAAATCGCTCCCAGAGACTGGTCAAAAATAAAGGAAAATTAACGTTCATCCATTACACTTAGAAGCACAATCCACCAGGAATCTTTTTCTGAAGTTCAGAAAAAAAGGTGGTTTTTCCAGTGAGTTAGAGAGTAAATAAGTGGGCGCATCTATTTTTGTTGCCTGAGGCCTGCATTTCAGAAAATGCTTTCAAAAGTCACATCCTGCCACAATTAACAGCCAACTGAGCATTCTTGGCCTCTGACCTATAAATGAACATATGAAATCTGCGACTTGCCAAGATACTGAAGAGGTTGTTTGAAAACAATGACAAAGCTGGTTAGAACTCTGCAGACGGGCAAAGTAGCTCGTTGGTCGTCGGCTGCATCCAGTGAGAATTTATATGACCCTTTTAGAACAGTGGATGAGCATGGACACCCATTTTCCTAATGAAGAGGTAATTTCTCAAAATATTGAGAGGAATACAACTCTCCCCTGGACGGCAAGAGGCAGAGCGCTCAGATTAAACTGAGCAACACTTCAGTCTGTCTCCACCAGTTTCACCTCTGACCAGGTGAGCATTGGCAATGTTCTAGAAAATATTTCAAGTGCTGACTCAAAGTTGAATTTATTCCCGAATGCCCTTTTGGCCTCATGCCCTCATTTTATAAAATGAAACAGACACTGAGCCAGGAGCCAAGTGTCCTGCTCAAAATATACCTGAGTACTAGGGCTCAGGTCAAATACTCCAGGTGGTGAGTAGCCGCTAAGCAGCGCTGTGACCCACCTACTTGAACGCTGAAGCGTTACTACGACCTTCTAGGGACAAGATGAGAATATGGGTGAAACTGCCCCTGCTCCATCAGGCGTCCTGGTTCTGATCCTTTTCCCTTCCCCAGGCCTTCTTTCCTACATCTGATACTTCTCTTTTGTGACTTGCTCCAGCCTAATTTTTTTCCTAAGACATAGACCCTAAAAAAGGAAACTAAAGAACATCGGTTCATCTTTGGAGTTTAGTATTTACGCTTAGAAATCTGAATTCCGCTCTCGACGAACGACATCCCGTCTGAACGACTTCAAAGTTCAGGCACTTTGGATGAACCCTTGCCTGCCTACAGCTCTGGATGGACCTTCCCAGAGTCTCTGCAATCATCTTCAGCGTTATCAGCAATGCTAGTTTTTTCACTCTGTGTTCACCTGACTTGAACAGGAGATTTTCAAGGGATCTTGAACCATACAAATTAGTCCAGGTCCGGGAGGAGAACAAGATGGAAACCCAAGCTGACTAGAAGTCAGCAGGTTAGCTGAAATGAAGTGCCGTCTTGGCAGGTCTTCCCTGCACTGGTCAGAGTGGCTGCTTCTGGGAGTCTAACTTTGTAACTCTGCTTGACCAAAAGGCAAAGGATCAGGCCTGTAAACACGGCCAAAATCCTTGCCAGGGTTCGCCATGAAGTAGGTGTTCAATGGTCACTGAAGACTTGAAGGAACCACTGTGTAGCAATGGGCAGAAGGAATGGGGACATGAAGGCCGCAGCAGCTGGCCTAACTCCGGCAGATGAGGGTCAGATCCAAAAGGAAATCCGTCCTGCGGAAGCTGAGAACAGCTCAGGAGAGTTCCACGGGCCTCAGAGGAGCCAGAGCTGACTTGGTTCTCTCTCTGACAGCGATAGTCAATGAGATAATGTGTGTGTCTAAGTGTGAGTGTGAGAGTGTGTATGTGACTGTGTGACTGTGTGTGAGAGTATGTGGCTCTGTGAGTGTGTATGTGTGTGAGAGTATGTGACTGTGTGTGACTGTATGTGACTGTGTGAAGTGTGTGAGAGAGAGTATGACTGTGAATGTGTATGTGTGACTGTGTCTGACTGTGTGACTGAGTGTGTGTGAGAGTATGACTGTGTGAGTGTGTGACTGTGCGTGTCAGAAAGTGACTGTGTGTGTGGCTGTGAGTGTGTATGTGTGTGAGAGTATGTGACTCTGTGAGTGTGTATGTGTGTGAGAGAGTATGTGACTGTGTGTGTGACTGTATGTGACTGTGTGATGTGTGTGAGAGTATGGCTGTGTGAGTTTGTGTTACTGTGTGACTGTGTGACTGAATGTGTGTGAGTATGACTGTGTGAGTGTGTGACTGTGTGTGTGACTGTGTGTGACTGTGTGTGTCAGAAAGTGACTGTGTGTGTGACGGAGTGTGTATGTGTGTGAGAGTATGTGACTGTGTGAGTATGTGTGTGACGGTGAGTGTGTATGTGTGTGAGAGAGTATGTGACTGTGTGTGACTGTGACTGTGTGATGTGAGAGAGAGTATGACTGTGTGAGTGTATATGTGTGACTGTGTGTGACTGTGTGACTGAGTGTGTGTGAGAGTATGACTGTGTGAGTCTGTGTGTCAGACAGTGACTGTGTGTGTGACTGTGAGTGTGTATGTGTGTGAGAGTGTGTGACTGTGTGTGTGACTGTGTAAGTGTGTGAGTGACTGTGTGTCTCTGTGTGTGCGCGTATGACATATACACACATTCTATAAGTCGTGGCTGTGTTTGATCGGCGACAGCCCAGCCACTTGACCCAGTGAACACAGACACAGCCGGGAACCATCTCACATTCTCAAACCAGTTTTGAACTTTATTCTGGGGAATCCAGCTGAGGAGACCCTCATCCACCTGCCACCCGCACTGTGGGGGACTTCCTGCCTTTTCCCCCACTCCTTCCCCTTCTCCTAAACAAAATCTTTTCTGAATTTGAAGCCAAACACTTGACTCTGTCCCCTGGGCCCCTCAGGACCCTGTGTCCCTTATGGATGCAAGTGGCTCCGTCTGTGCCTGTCTCCTCTCAGCTTTGTGCACAGGAAGTCAAGTGATGTGGCGACCTGGAGAGTTTTTAAAGATGCCTGGTGTTATTGCAGGCAGCAGCACCGTGGGGGCGGGGAGGGATACAAATGGGGTGCACTCCCAACGTGTGCATTCCGAGAAACTATTGCCCTAGAGGAGGAGGACGAGGAGGAAGAGGTGGACGGAGATGGGGGGGGGAGGAGGAGAGGAAGGAGGAGAAGGAGATGGAAGACGAGGAGGAGATGGAAGAGGAGCAGGAGGGTGAGGGAGCTACAGCAGGTGACTGCAGGCAGGATTTATGAATGGAAACTGGGGCAGGCTGACCTGGGGCTGAAGCCCACCCCTCCGCTCCCTACGCTGTCCTCCTGCGCTATTTATAGGAAGCAGCGAGACAGCGGGAAAGATCACTTACTCGTGATGGGGTCTGAAAACTCACTTCCTCTGTGTCTGGGACCTTGGTCTCTTCCCCTGAGGTGGGAGCAGTGGGAAGGACGGGCTCCCCGGGAGCCCCTTTAGGGAACAACACCAGCCCGAGTCGTCCCCACGCCTCCGCCTTCAGACGTGGCTCAGCTCTGCTGCTCGGGATGTCAGTGCGATCATGACTAACGGGTAAAAATAAAACGCATTACATAAGGCGCTTCGAACTCCTGCTGCCAAGGGAGGCTGGACCGAGAAAACAACAGGCATTCTCGGTGACGGTGTGGCCGACACTTCCAATAGCTGGGACGGGGCGACGGCGCTTGAACTCGTGGCAAAAACTGTGTGAGAACAAAAACCTTGGTAAAGACAGTCTGATGGCCCTGAAGGGACAGTCCTCTGACTCCCGGAGAGCTCTGGGCCAAGATGGAGACCCAGTCCCTCATTCCTGGCGCTCAGACAACCCTGTTTCATCCTGATAGGAATCCGAAATAGTTTCACAAGCAACAGGTTCCCAGCTCAGCCCTGGCCCCGCACAGCACAGACGTCTGCACCCGTGATGCGGAACCCAAGCAATGTCCTCCACGCAGCTCCTGCAAAGGAAGTTGCTGAGAAGGGGGCAGGTGAGGAGGGCAGGGGAGGCCTCTTCTCTGGGGGTGCGGCCACCCTCGAGGGGGAGTATGTCACCTCACACGTGTCCCAATCACTTGAAGATGAAACGGGCATCATTTTATCCCAAGGGGGCCTCTGTCTCTAACAAGCCACAAGGGTGAGAAGAGAATTCAGTGGCTCTAGATGACCTCTCTCCAACACACACGTCGAACGATACATTTGGGGGGTGGCTCTCTCGACCTGACCCTTCTCTCGAAAAGTCCATCTCTTGAAAGTTTTTTTTCTTGGATTGATATCCAGAGATGCTCTGGGGTTACTCCTGGCTCTGAACTCAGGAATTATTCCTGGTGGTACTCAGGAGACCACCTGGGATGCTGGGGATCGAACCCGGGTCGGCCGTGTGCAAGGCAAACGCCCTCCCCCACTGTTCTATTGCTCCAGTCCCTCTTGAGAGTTCCTTCCGAAAGGAGAGGTCTCCTGCTTATCTCTCTGGCTTTCCCTCCAACAATTTTTGGGCCCCCAAATACACGGGCACGGGAAGAAAGGGTGACTTCCACGGCTGTCCTTGAGTGCAGGTTAACCAGGAATCAAGTCAGGGCAGAGGCGCAACCCAGAGGGGTCCTGTGCTGGCCACTCAGTCTGTGTGACCTGAAAGGCCTCTCCAGGCCCCGCTGAGTGTGTGGCTCCGTGCCAGCAGCACCCCTCCCATTAGGAAGACTAACAGAGATATTTGTGAAGTTGACTTCTGCGCGCATACTAACACACAGGGGTTCCAGCTCCTCCGGGAGCCCTTCTCTGTTTTCAAGAGAGAGCCCTGCGCTAGAAAGCAAAACAAAACCAGCCCAGGCTCCTGGGCTGAGGAGCTCCACCTCCTCAACTCCACCACGAAGCCAGACCTCTCATTCAATGGCTTCTTTGGCTCGTTAACAGAAGGATGTGTTGGGAATGGTGACAGTTCAAGGAATTTGCTAAAGCACTGTCAGAGGGGTGGGGAGAAGAGGCTCTCAGGGGCGCACTTGCTGCTTTCCCAACAACAGGGGGCTGCAGTCACTCATTTCTCTCCCTTGCACCCCAGAGACCAGCATCGAACCAGGCAAACTGAACGTTAATTCAAAGGGCTCGGTTGCAAAAGAAGGACTATGCCTCTGACTTTCCTAATTGTCTCAGTTATTCCTGAAAGTTCTACGTCAATGGGAAGCAAGGACAGATGCACCTGACCCAAACAGCATCTATGAGCTGCTCGAGGAAACCTCAGTGATGGGTTCCTCATCACCAAAGGAGAAGCCAAATGCTACTACAGAAGTTCTGGTGACTTCCCGGCTACCAGCAAGTTGACAACCAACACCCAGGCAAACTCTGGTTCACAAGACCTTATCTCTTCCGCGAGAAACTGTTTGAGGACCAGTCACTTGGGCATTGCTTCAAAAGGCACATTTATTCCAGTGGCAACGTAAGTTGAGAAGGAGAGAATAGCAATCAAAACAAAAGTAGGGTGGGTTTGATGCATACATTAACATCAGTCGGAATCCGGGGTCCACACATACCACCGGCTCAAGCCACATGTTTAACCGGAGTCCCTAGGGTCCAGCGATTCACAGTTGTATCGTGACACACACAGGCTGTCAGAAAACACTGTTTTTCAAAAAAAAAAAAAAAAGAGGCGACGCAAACTCACAAGCAGCTCGCCCTGAGGTCCAGTTCAAGTGTCTGCAATGCAGAAGTCTGCACATTTCCAAACTAGGTGACAAAGAACATTCAGTGCATATCACAGGCTTTGATAAATTATGGGGGATGGGGGGAATCTCTATTACTACCTAAAAAAGAGCTGAGAAACAGTTCAAAAGAATTAACTTGTGTTCACATTCCATGCATTTTCTAGCAGGCGAGGCTCTGGGATGGCATCTTGGTGTGCCCGGTTCACTGAACTGACACTGGACAAATCCCAGCCTTCCTGAGACAGATGCAGAAGGACCCGGGGGTTTTCGTATGCTTGCCCGTATCTGTACTACACTACCAGAGGCCCAGAGGACTGGACAGTGGAATTGATTGGGGGGGGGGGGGGGGACACAGGGGAGGGGAGGGAAGAGTTGGGGACATTACACGTGGCCTGGCTCAGAAGTTAACAGGTCGGAGCAGACTTTTTCCCCGGGGGATGGAAGCCCTCGTTGACCCCTTCCTCTACCGCCCAAAGCCGCCCAGACGCCACGAGACCTCCCGGGTCGCCTTCCCCTTCCTCCCCCGCGGTTCGGAGCACCCTCCAAACCGCGAGCAGAGTGGGAAACACGGCCCACCGGGGGAAACAAAGCAAGCAACCAAAGGGACCCTCCCCAAGAGAAGCTCCCCCACCAAACGGGCGGGCCGGCAGCCTCGAGGGGCTCGGGGCTCACTTGTTGCGGGAGCCGTGGCCGCCGTGGTGCAGGAACCTCCTGATGACCAGCGCCAGGCACGCGACCAGCAGCAGCATGTAGCCCACCGTGCCCGAGAGGGTGGGCGCGGCGGGCGGCGCCTGCAGGAACTGGCGCAGCCCGTCCTCCACGTAGTGCGCCTGGTCGTAGATGCTGAGGAAGGTGAAGATGTGGAAGAGCTGGTGGCTGTGGCCCACGATGTCGAAGCGGCCCGGGCGGAAGCGCTCGGGGATCTTGCTGACGTTGAAGAAGGCGGCCACCACCAGCCAGAAGTAGCGGCGGTAGAAGCGCGCGAAGAGCGCGGGGTTGCGCGCGCGCAGGTCGAAGAGCCAGCTCTCCAGCATGATGGGGCAGGCCATGCTGAGCGGCATGACGAAGACGAAGGTGCGCAGCGCGAACGGGTAGGCGCACCAGTCCGTGCGGCTCTTGCAGCAGGCCACGGTGCAGGCCACGGCCAGCACGAAGGCCACGGGCAGCACGAGTGCGCGGTAGGCGGCGATGAGGCGCGTGCAGTCCAGGTGCCAGCCCAGGCGCTGCTGCACGTAGGGGGTCATGACGCGCGCGTCCAGCAGGCGCAGGCCGGGCAGCAGGTAGTAGTAGTAGGCCACGGTGCTGCCGAAGCCGTAGTAGCTGATGGACGCGTAGTCCAGGTAGAAGAAGGCGGCCCGCAGGCGCAGCGACAGGCAGCTGAACACGTGCGCCGTGCAGCTCATGGCGAAGGTCAGCAGCACGCCGGACGCGTAGCACCAGAGCGGCAGCAGCCCCGGGTGGTGGAAGGGCAGGTCGCCGCCCGGGAGGAGGAGGCGGCCGAAGCGGCCGAGGAAGAGCAGCAGCGGGATGAAGTGCGTCCAGAAGTTGAGCGTCTCGTTGGTGGGCTGCAGCACCGAGGCCAGGCACTGCTGCGCCGTGCAGGGCAGGCGCCGGTAACCCGACAGGATGAAGCACTCCACGAAGTCGTCGGGCACCTCGTCCCAGCGCAGCAGCGCGCGCGCGGCGGCGGCCGCGGGGTCCCCGGCCGCGGCGGGCCGGGGCGGCTCAGGCTCGGGCGGCGCCCGGGAGCCCGCGGTCCCCCGCGCGTGCAGCCGGCGCGCCATGGGGCCCCGCGCGGCCCGGGCGCCGCGGCAGGTGCCGGCCGAGCCTGCGGGAGACGAGCCGTGAGCGCGCGGCGGCGGCGGCGGCGGCGCGACCGTGACGGGGCGTCGCGCGCGCGCGCGGGCGGGCGGGCGGCGGGGGCGGGGACGCGCGCGCGCGGGCGGGGCGGGGGCGGGCGGGGCGGCTCGGGTTGCGGCCCCCGCGCGGCCCGTGAACGGTGGGTGGATGCGCGCCGAGGGCCGAGCCGCCGCCGGGCGGGCGGGCGGGCGCGCGCGTGCCGAGGCCGAGGGGCGGCGCGGGGCTTCGAACCCTGACCGCCGCGCGCGCGCGCGTTCCAGAGGACACTGGGCGGCCGCGTTCGCGGGGGGCGGGGGAGATGCGCCTTTGGGCATCCCCGGAAACCGGCCGGGCCGGGTACCCCACCCCCGGCGCGCCGGGACCTGGCGCGGCTCCCCGCAGACCCCCCGACCCGCGCGTCCGCGGCGCGCACTGACCTCCCGGGGCCCGCTCCCGCGGGGCCGCAGCTCACCCATCCGCGTGTCCCGGCGCGGCCGCTCCCAGAGCTCCGGGAAGCGCCGGGTCCTCCCCGCGGGCTCGGCGCGGGCTGTTCAAAGCCTGCGGGCTGCTGCGGCAGACGCGGGCGGGCGGGCTCGGCCCGGGGGACGCTGGACCCAGCGCGGGGCTCGGAGAGCGAGAACACCCGGGGCGGGGGGTGGGGGACTTCGCATGCTCCCGGCCACCGAAAGGAGGAGGGCGACGTGGGGCCGGCGACCGCGGGTGTGGGGTTCACCCGCAGTCCCCGCAGGCAGGCTGCGGTTCAGAGAAGAAGCCGGGAGCATGAAGAAGGTGAAACACGGGAACCGAGTCCTGCGCGGTGAGGACGACGCCCTGGATCGTTACTAGGGGGAAAAAAGAACAGCGAGAAGAATTCCGTGGTCGTTCCACAGCGGTTCTTTCACTGATGATGCCCCGGGGATGGGTGTGACATCCCTGACCCCTGTGGGATCGCCTTAGGGCATCCAGCTCCAGCTGTAAAGGGACCGGGTGTGACCTGGCTTTTAGGTTAAATTAACCCCTGGCTTAAAAGAGGAAGAAGGTCCCCGTGCTGCGCTGCCCGGGGGATTCGAACCCAGGCACCCTGGCCTTGATCCCAAACATCTGCACACCCGCTTTGCTCCAGGCCAACTAGGAGAGGCCAGTCTGGTGTCAGGCGACTTAGCTTCTCAGTTTATAAATGAAAAGTCCTCCTCCTCGCCCCTGCTCATCCTCTAAAGTAGGTCAGGAAAGGTTTACTTTGTAGTACGGGCTTTACTTGGGAGAGAAATTATTCATAAGAAATCATCCAGTATTGCAAATGTCTAAAAGGACCTTTAAAAGTGCTTGTAACAGTCTCTTTGCTCAGTCGTGTTCGGGACACAAGTAGCTGACTTGCACTCTTGCACAATTAGGCCAAAGGTACCTACCCCACCCCCCACCCCCCTCAGTCTGTTGGAACTGTCACACATTCCTGATTAATGGGTTTTTTAATACAGCTGATTATGCACTAGCAACTTAGTATTTTGCTTTAGTATTTTCCATCGTCTGTGGCCCTAATGTTGAAAAGCAAAATCTGATTTTCCGTTTACATCTGTACTAAGAATCCTGGCTAAGTCGTAAAAAGGATTAAGATTCGGGCATTTATAAATCAAGTCTAGGGATCATAAACCCAAATGAGTCCAGGGCAGACTAGGAAAAAAAAAAAACAACTTCTCCCCTTCATATTCTCTTTGTTACTTCACACACAAATCTCAGCTGTAGCCCGTAAAACAATGTTGATCCTGTAATAATTCCCGCACTTACCAACCTCTGTGTTGCATAATCAGCTCCCTTACGTAATCAGGAACATATAATCGAAAGTTCACATTGAGTAAAATAATGGAAATTGACCTTAACCAAATGTACCATAAGCTTAATAAAACAAACTAACATTTATCTTTATGACCGAGTGTGCTGAGACGGACAATTGTAAAAGGGGGTGTCTTTTTTTTTAAACACACACACACACACACACACACACACACACACACACATTCTTGCTGAAGCCAGAATTCTCGTCCAAACAAGACACTAGTGACTTCTGTGTTCCTTTCTCATCCGTCTCCCACCCACCCCCAGGAGACACTCGGTCAACTGATTCGAGAAAGTTCTGGGGCCAACCGGACAGATCCTTGCTTAACCTTGAAAAGTCTGGTGAAAACGACCCAAGGAAACAGCAAAGCAAACCTAACTTTTTATGATTTTGCTTTGGGGGCCACACGCCCTGGTTCTCAGGGGCTATTCCCTGCTCTGTGCTCTGAGTTGCTTGCTGGTGCTTGGGGGACCATCGGTGCTGGGGCCCTTTGCGTGCAAAGCATGTGCTCAGCCATCGAGCTATCTCTCTCTAGCCCCAGACATAATGTTCCCCCCCAGTTTTTGATCTGGGGCCACACCTGGCGGTGCTTAGGGTATACTCCTGGCTCTGTGCTCAGGAATCGCTCCTGGTGGGACTTGAAGGACCATATGAAATATGGGGGATGGGGCCTGGCTTGACCACATGCCAGGCAAGTGCCATACTTGCTGTGATATCTATCCAGCCCACCAAAGCTGAGTGTGCGGGGTCCAGCGAGATAGAGCCTGTTCCTCCCCCCACCCCATCAGAGGCTGCGCTTGGTGGTTGGTTTGAAGTCCAGTTAAGGACATCCCCTCCCACCCCCTGCTTGGCAGGGCAGATAGAAGCCACTAGCAGGCCGCGAGCCCAGAAGGTGCCAAGGGAGATAACGCTTCGCAGAGAGACGGATCGACTACCAGGTTCTGGACAGAAAGTCTCTCAAGGATGGCCTTGGCAGGGCAGTGCCAGCCTCGGGACAAACCAGTCACCTCTCCCGAGAGAAACCTGCCAGGCCTAGATCGCAGATGCCCCTGGGCAGTTCCCGCGGGCTTTGTGCTTGCAGATCTCGTCATTGCTGGGTACGAATACAGCTGTGTCTGGACCAAGGTGATATTCTCGCCCGGCTTCTACACCATTGTGCAATACAGCTGGATGTGTGCCCTCCCCTCCCGCCCCCCCAAACACAGCTCTTATTATAGACCAGGTGGCTATGGCTTTAGTTATTTGTTTGAGGTCCACACCTACTCAGGGTTCACGGTGGATCATGGCAGGGCTTGGGGAACCATGCGGTGCCAGGGCTTGAACCCGAGCCTCCTATGTGAAGGCCTGCGTTAAACTAGCCCTTGAAACTAGCTCCTGGCCTGAGAGGGATATTTCAATGGTTTTTCTCTACACTACATGATGCCCATAGAAAGACTTCACTGCAGGGCCAGAGAGATTGTTTTCGTGACAGTGCATATGCTTAACCCATGCGAGGCTCTGAGTTTGATCCCCAAGTACCACTGAGCATGGCTCTGGAGACCCCTGAACACCGGTGGTCTTGCCCCACCAGGAAAGTCACGGCTGCAAGTGATTTATGCAATTTTCTTTCTTTTTTTAATTTTTTGTTTGGGGGGCCACACCCAGCGGTGGTCAGGGTTTACTTCTGGCTCCAGGCTCAGTGATGCTCCTGGCAGGGCTTGGGACACCATCTGGGGTACTGGAGAGTGAAGCTGGGTCAGCCACACGCGAGGCAAGCCCCCTCCCTGCTGTACGTATCAGGGCTCAGCCCCATCATTTTCCATGTATTATCATTTGCAGGACCAAGGATGAGACCCAACTCCCCTGCACACAAGGCTGTGCTTTACCTTTGAGCCGGACCCTCCAGCTCAAGTCACTCCTGATGAAAACGTGATTTCACTGTGAATTTGACATTCTCTGGTGGGGACAGTGAGCCAGAGCTATTTATGGCAACGACACCACGATGCCAAATGCTTGATTTGGGATCAAATAATGTTTTTCCCCCTTCAATCTTATTTGTTGACCAAAAAATAAAAGCCAACCCACTCTGGTTCCAACAGAGCATTTCATTGTACCCGAGATTCTAGAAAGAGAACTCCACGGTCTGGTCCTTTTTCTTGGCTGCATTGGGGAGCTGCTCTCTCCCCAGATTTCCAGGTCAGATGTGCTTGCTTCCAAACTACCGGAGCTGAGCTTCTGGATTGGGGAAGCCTTGGGGCTGGGCATCAGGAGTTACCATGGCAACCATGGGATCGACTCTCTCTAGGGAAGGCGGGGCTTCCAGCACTGCTGAGGCAGCTCTTCCCTTTGAAATTCTCCACAGGAAAGGATGCTCTCCAGTCTTCCTGCCTCGGCAAGTCTGTGGAATCTTCACCAGGTAACCAAATGCAGAGAAAGCACACTCGCCTTTTATGCAGCCGCCGCAAGTCTGATCTCCTAGTCCTGAGCACAGAGTCAGGAGTAAGCCCCGAGCACTGCTGGCTGTGGTCCAAAAAACAAAAATCCACGCCTGTTTGCCCCACCTGCTGCCATCTCCTCCGGCACGGGGCAGACTTCCTGTTGCTCTCCGGTCCCAAGAGAGGGGGTCTCCGAGGCCAGCAACAGTCCCTGTGCTCGGACTATCCTACATGGTCAACCTTCCTCCAGCTTCCCAAGGGGAAGTTGGCCGTGGCTATTCTGGAGCTGTTCCTCCCGAATGCTTCAGGCTAGAACTCTCCTATCTTCTGGGCTCCATTTGGTTTGGATTTCGAACCCATGGAGCTTAGGGATCCCTCCTGGCGGTTCTCAGGCAAGCACGTGGTGCTGGCATAGAGCCGGAGGCCCATGGCAAAGCTCACACTCAGCCCACGTAGCGCTCATGGTCCTCGAGTGTCTATCTGTGGCCTCATAGGCCCGTGGTGACTTTGTCCTAAAGCAACTTCCCTCTGGAGGGGCCTGTCCTAGGCTGTTCCTAGGTGGGCAGGGGACTCCAGGTCATTCCTGAGAATCAGCTGATCAAGCCTGGGGGTGGAGTGATTGGCCTCCCCAGCCCTTAATCTTCCCTAATCTTCCCCAGCAGCTTTTCTGGAAAGAACGTCTTTGAGACTGCGCATGTTCAAGTTGGGTGAGCTT